CCCTAAACCCTAAACCCTAAACCCTAAACCCTAAACCCTAAAAAATGAAAAAAACCAAAAAAAAAAAAAACAAAAGCATCCTAAAAAACATACAAAACCCTAAACCCTAAACACTAATAATCCCTAAACCCTAATAGTGCCTAAACCCTATTGAAGGGTGCTCGGAGTCTTTGGGTTACGAATGATAATGGCATGCAAACCCTAAACCCTAAACCCTAAACCCTAATAAACCCTAAACCCTTCTTACAAGAACAATATCCCGCCGACAAGAAGAAGGGAGCGGTTGCGCCAGTAAACCCGCCGTCTTAATTACAGCGAGCTGCGCATACACCGCAAACCCTCCCCCCAACAAAAAACAGTAAACCCTAAACCCTCATAAACCCTAGCCCTCGCCTTCAGAAGGAATACACCTCACTCCCTAAACCCTAATTTACAAAACCCTAAACCCTAAACCCCAAATCATCAGCTCGTCAATATGCCCTAAACCCTAAACCCTTCTGTAGGATAGATATCAACTGTCCCCCATTCGTAAACCCTAAACCCCAAACCCTAAACCCTAAACCCTCACCCTGACGGTACTTTCATCATTAAGAAGTCGCCGCACTGCATCAGAGAATTCTTCTTCGCGTCTCCTTCTCTCTTCTGCGCATTTGCTGCAGACTTTCCTCTCTCCTTGCTGCTGCTGCTGCTGCTGTTGCTGCTGCTGCTGCTGTTGGCTGCTGCAGATACAGGGGGCATTAGGCGGCAGCGCTGCAGCAACAACAGCAAATAAGGAGGCAGCTAGCGACCTGCGCACCTGCAGCAGCAAAAACATTCACAGCATCCCCCGTTGCTGTTGCTGCTGCTGCTGCTGCTGCTGCTTCTTCCGTTGCTGCTGCAGCTTCTGTTGGTGCCGTTGCTGCTGCTGCTGCTGCTGTGTATAGACGACTTGCCGCTGTGCAGGGATGCGTTAGTAGGTTCCTGAAGCAGCAGCGCAGCAGCGGCCATCTTGCTGCTGTTGCTGCAGCAGCAACAGCAGCAAATGTAAAGCTTGCACATGCTGCAGCAGACATAGGCAGCAACATGCCTGCTCCTATTTCTGCTGCTGCTGCTGCTGCTGCTGCTGCTGCATTCTCTGTAGGGCGGTAACCAAAGTTCATCTCTGCTATCTGTCTCCTCGTGCTCTGGCAGAGACTGCAGCAGCAGCAGTCCGACTCCCCACCACCACCCTCCCCTGCAGCAGCAACAGCAGCAACAGCAGCAGCAGCATGAGCAGCAGCAGGAGAATAGGCAACACGGGAGGGAACAGGAAAGAGCTGCTGCTACATGACCGAAGAAAGCAGCAAAGCAGCAGCAACAGCAGCAGCACACGAGGCTGCAAGCAGCACCACCGCCAGCAGTAACAGCAACAGCAACAACAGCAACAACAGCAGCAGCAGCAGCAGCAGCAGAAGCAAATGAGGTGTATATATACCTGCATAAACTTGCATAGTGTCTCTATATATGAATGTACAATCTGTCTCTTCTTCTTCTGCTGCTGCTGCTGCTGGCTCAGTTAAGCAGCAATACTCATGCAGCAGCAGCATCAAACGATCTGCTGCTGCTGCTGCTGCTGCCGCTGCTGCTGCTCTGTCCCCTGCTGCTGATGCTGCTTTTGCTGCTTTTGTTGCTAGTGCAGATGTGCTCTCCTTTGTCGCTCCTTCTTGCTCTTGGCAAGATCCTCCTGTTGCTGCTGTCTCTGTTGCTGCTGTTGCTGCTGTTGCTGTTGTTGTTGCTGCTGCTTCTGTTGCTGCAGATGTCTCTGCTGCATCGCTTACTCCTGCTGCTTCCTCGCAAGACACCTTGCTGCTGTTGCTGCCGTTGCTGCTGTCTTTGCTGTTGTACGTGTCTGCTGATTCTGTATGGCATCCTTCGTCTTCCAGTTGCTGCTGCTGCTGCTGCTGCTGCTGCTGCTGTTGCTGCTGCTCACAGGGCTCCATTTCGTTCCTTGAACTGCCTTGATGACGTTGCACCCGTGCCTTCTGCTGCTTCTTCTGCTGCTGCTGCTGCTGCTGCACTGCAGCAGGAGCAGCACCATCCAGAGGAAGGAACTCAGCAACAGAAGTTAAGAAAAAGCAAAGCTGCTGCTTTGCTGCCAAGCGGACACAACTGCAGCCACAGCAGCAGCAAACCCTAAACCCTAAACCCTAAACCCTAAACCCTCAGGAGCCTCATGTTCGGCCGTGCTGACGCCGCAGCCGGAAGACCCCGACTAGCAGCAGCAGCAGCATTGCGTGTTGCACCCAACAGCAGCAGCAGCAGCAACAGCAACAGCAACAGCAGCAGCAGCATGGTGTTGCTCTCACGGTTCTGGTGCCTTAAGGAAGTCTAACAAGGCGGGCAGCAGCACGTCAAGCCGCACAGCAGCAGACACAGACTGTACAGACACAACGCATGCAGCCAACAAACCCCACTTAGCAGCAGCAGCAGCAGCAGCAGCAATAACTGCTGCAGCAGTAGCAGGTCAGCAGCAGCTACAGCAGTAGTAGTAGCAGTAACGGCACAACAGCTGGTATAGAGCCGCGCATGCAGGCGCAGCAACGTCAATACCAGCAGCGGCCTATTGGGCAGCAGCAAAAGCAGCAGCAGCAGCAGCAGCAGCAGCAGAGAGCAGTACCTTTGCTAGATCGAACATAGAAGCAGCTGCTGCAGTCCTTTCTTCCTTTCTACCATCAGCAGCAGCAGCAGCAGATTGTAGATGCAGCAACAGCGGCAGCACCCGCTTCTCCACTGTCTCCTCACCCAAACCAGGAGACATCTGCAGCAACAGCAGCAGCAACAGCAGCAGCAACAGCAGCATCAGCAGCAACAGCAGCAGCATTGCCATCATCTCCAGTATCAACAGCAACACCATCATCATCATCATCAGCAGCAGCAACAGCAGCAGCAGCAGCAGCAACAGCAGCAGCAACAATACACCTATCACCACCACCGCCACCACCACACCAGCACCACCAACAGCAGCAACAGCAGGAACAGCAGCAACAGCAGCAGGAGGAGGAGGAAATAGACTTACAGCAGCAAGATGTCTAGTAGCCTGTGCCCTAACCATAGGATGAATATCTTCATAAGCAAGGAATAAGAATTGAGGAAGAAGCAAATGATATTTTAGATCAGCAGCAAATAGATCAGAAATAAAAAAGAGAAAAGAAGAAGAAAAAAAACGCAAAGATAAACAATCATTATATTGACTTAAACGTAAACCTATTGGTAATACATAACATAAACGATCTGATGGCCTATACAGTAAAAAAAAAAAAAAAAACAAAAAAAAAGAAAAAAAAAAAAAAAA